CAAAGTTGTGTGCCTCGACTCGCGGATCCCTATGTAGATACACGTCACATACGTGTATCTCTCTTCAATCATCAACTACTCAACGGCTCAGCGCAGCCATCGCGACTCGCAAGCTCATTGAACAAGATGGACTGGTTTCTGGACATGAGTACATTACTCATTAGTCATTAGGGTTAGTTTGTTTGAATGTTATACTGGGTTTGGGAAATCGGGCCTTTATTTTTGTATTTTAGTATTTGTAACCAACTTAAGTATTAATTTTGTGCTTCAAAATTGTAATGGACTTTTACAATATTTTAGAATTTATATTAATTGTTGGTTAGAGAGTCAGTACAGTATTATACCGGTATACCGTGGATTCGGGGCTGGTTGGGCCCGGTTCGGGCCTAGGCCTAGCGGGATTTCTGGGATTTGGGGTTGGGCCCGGGACCAGTCCGGGTCCGGGGCGGGCCGAGCCGGGCCGGGTCAAAAGTAATTTTTTGGGCTTTCCTAACTACCCCTGACCCCACCCCCCAAACCCCCCAAAACACCCAGCCCAACCCGTTAAAATAAAAAAAATGAAAAAACAAAAAAAATGGGGCCGACCGAGCCAGGTCTCAAATAGGCCTACCCGTGCCCGGTACCGTTTTCCCCTTGGGTCGGGTCAAAGCCCGATACCCGGACCACTGATCGGGCCGATCCCGGGCCCGTATAGTAGCGGGCTGGGTGGCCCGACTCGAGTCCACCACTACCGCGATATGTGAAAACATTTACCGTTACCGTACCGAAATAAATTGGTACAGTATGATACCGTACCGAAAATGACGGTATACCAATATTCCGGTATTTTCCGGTATTTTTCGGTACGTTAAATGAGGTATATCGATTTTCCGGTATTTTTTCCCACCCTTACAGCTGATTGTCAAACACCCCCTATATGAGCATGCATATATATACTTAATGTGTCACTTTCCTTTTTTTCCTTTTGAAAGGAATGTGTTACTTTCCTTTCAAAATGGAAAATTCCGGAAATGGAAATAAAACATTTGAGAATCCTAAAATAGAACTATCATGTTTTTATTATCTAAATATGACTAATTACTATAAAGTTGGAAAAATATTACCAAGTCTGGTACTGCCAAAATATGACAGTGATTAGTCCTATTTGGGAAATAAAATATGATAATCCTATTCCGGAATAGATAAACATATTTCCTCTTATTTAATTAGGACAATTTACCCTTTCAAAAGTAACTTAATTAAGACATTTGTTGTAATGTTCGATTGTCCGTATCTTTATATATATAAAGACAACATGGTGGAGATCCAAATAGAAATCTATTTGGAGCCAAAAGAAGTGAAAAATTGTTGTCACTATTAATGAACCATTACTTAATGAAGTCATATTAAGTGCCAACCTATTTAATTTTTGAAAGTTATAAATAAAACTTTATAAAATTATTGTCACTTTAATGAAGCATTATTACTTAGTAATGCCATATTAAGTGCCAACCTAATTAATAGTTGTATGTTATAAATAAAACTTTGAAAATTATATTGAGCATAAATACATTAAATATTAAAAAAATTAGAAAAATATTAAAAGATACATTATACATAATTAATTAAGAGACATAATATAATAAAGTTAAAAATGAAATGTTCTAATTTCAGAATATAAAATAGAGTATTACAATATATTTGGATACAAATATTATGTAATTGACAATGATAATACTCAGTACCTCATTAAATGTGTTCAGAATTCACTTGCATGTGGAATATAAATGAAGTAAAAATTACTTTGTATGTGATTCAGATTTTTACAAATCAGTTGAGAAAAATAATTTACCTACACATTTATTAGTTTAAATGGAAATGACAATTTTTGTTGGGGCAGCTGCAAAAATAAAGTCGGCACAATTTAACGAGATGAGGGAGTCATTGTTTTTTATAATTAGCTGCAACAAAAAATACAAAAATTCAATTATTTAATTATACTATAACTATTCATTAGTAAATAAGTAACTATTTTCAAAATTCGTTGAAATCATAATTTTAAATAATGTTTCCCAATTTTGAAAAGATTTTTAGCATTTCCAATTTTGTGTACGAGTCAAATTGGTTCAATGATATTGGATTATACAATTTTACGATTCAACTCGTGATGCTAACAACATTGATATGTAGTTCTTATAAAACATATAGTGATTTTAACAATCTTGATCTGTAGCTTTTATAAAACATATATTGAGATGAATCAAGAGATATTATATATGGATTGGAGTATAAAATAAAAAATTTCACTTTTTAGATGGAATATATTTAGAAACTTTAAAACACAACAAGCACGATATTAAAAAGTAATGTCATGCGTTGAATAATCATCATAATTATATTATAAATAAATAATACTACATATGAGATTGTAATATGATAACGATTGTTATCATCTAAAAAAACAATTGTTATCATCTTCATTAGACAAGTTTGTTAGGGATGAAAGGATACTTATTTTATAGTTTTATGCTAATTGGTGTATGTCCAACGGACTAACAATTATCATACATGTATTCTAATATAATTTTGTATCATGTTTTTATTTTTTTTCTACAATAAATATGTATATACACATTACTCATGAAATAAATTCTTTGTAAAAAAATTGATTTCATTTGTTCCCCGTGCAACGCACGGGTGGATTGACTAGTATATTTAATTTATTCATGTGCATTAATGTATGAGAGATTTCATTTTTTAATGTAAACTAAATTAATTGAAAACTATCCTAAAAAGATACGTAGTATTTATTAAACCTGCTATAAAAGTGGAATACAATGTTCAAAATGGCCAAGTTGAGGATATACTTCTTTACTAATATGAGCATAATCCTTAAATTTCCTATTTAAGGCGCCGAAATAAAATATAATTGATTTGGTTCACAAGATTATATAAATACAACTGTGTAAGTGTACAAAAACACCCCCAAAAAACACGAATATTTGTCATTTGAAAACTTTTTTGAATAGCTTTTCATTTATTTTAGATTGGGATGGTATTGGTATTTTACATTCATCAATAAAAATATCTTCTAAATCTGGATTAAATTAAAATTGAAGTATATAGGAGTAAAATTGAATTAAAACTTTTTAAATCTGAAACTCATTTTCAAATGATCTAAAAGAAACCCACACAAATAGGAGTAAAACGTTTCAGAATTTCAAAATAGGAGTATTGTGTTTCTATTTATCAGAATAAGAGTAATTACTGTGATCAGTAAAAAACAATGTCAATTACGAAAGGACACTATCATATTTCAAACTTATCTTATTTAGATTTAGAAGAAGAAAAACATAACAATCATATTTTGAAATCTTATATTTTTCCAATCCAATTTCATGAGTCTCCCACCCACCCGGCCACCCTTGCCCCATTGATGACTCCAACAACCACGGTTGGCTGCTACCGTCGAACCCAGGCGTTGTCGTTGTTCCAAGGCGACAATTGTTGGTGTTCCAATGATATTACTGGGAAATATCATTGAAAGTGGCATGTTCCAAGGCGACAATTACACCGAAATAAATCCATGGTAAAAGTCATTTGAAAGTGGCATGTTCAGTAACACCGAAATAAGTTATTGGGAAATATCATTGAAAGTGGCGTGTTCCAAGGCGACAATTACACCGACGACAGTAACAGTGACACTAGTAGCTAAACTAGCTAGTGGTACTCTGATAGTGACATTCTGAAAGTGACATAAAAGAAATTATGAATGACATAATAAATTGAAAGCGAAATCATAAATTTTCAATTTCACTTTTTTTTTTATAAAAAAGTCACTTTTTTGTCTATATAAATTTTATTATATTTATAGATACATTTTTGTCTATATTCAATCTTCATTATAGTACTTCATCTATCTCTGCTTAAGCTTTTCTCTTCTTTTCTAGACTTTCTGAACTTTCAGTTAAAACATCTAATTTCTATTTTAGGAAATAATTTACACTCTTAAATGATAATTTAATCATCAAATATTAAAAATGACACATCTATAACATCACATTTATTATCTATAGTCTCATTATGTTATTAATTAATTAATCTATTAAAACTATTTCTAAAAATATACTAGAATTACCTTATTTAAATATTACTTCATATATAAAAATCGTGTCAGTCTTTGAGAATTTAAGGAAAAACCCTAAAGAGTATATTACAATTTCATATTTATGTGATACGAAGTATAATTCAAAGCGTGCCAACCTAATGTAAGCATTTATTTCTACTCATAGAAATTGGTTCTTATTTTATGAGAGTAATAATGTCAATATTTGGTTTTCTTGTAAATACTACATTCGTGCCATTTTATGTGTCTTAGTTTGACTTGACAGGTTTTTAATGAAATGGTTGAAAAAGTAAAAGTTATAGTTGAAGTTTGAGTATAATAAAGTAAAATGGTGCAGACCACATATTTCTTTCCAAAAAAAGAAATAAGACACTCATTTTGAGACAACAAAAAAAGGAAAGTAAAACAGGTAAAATGGGATGAAGGAAGTACCATTTTTCCTCCTAGATTTAACAAAGGCTCAATCTTCCTCCTCAAAGCTAGGAGTATTTCACTCCTCGGTAAAAAGGCGGTTGAAAAATTACCCACAATCAAAAAAGTAAAAATAAAATAATTATAGAAAGTATATACGGAGAACAGTATAAAAAGGAAAGAGAAGAAAGTACCCACGGCGCAATTTAGTAGACCCCCGTCTTTCTGCCTCGCCTAACTACCCTGACGAAGAGCTAAAATGCGCCGAGTAGCTTCAAACCCCAACCCCACGGCCATTGCTCGTTTTTGGGAACTTTCTTTTTAAGCGCTGAAGACTGATTTTAGAAGAGAAACTGAAACCGGAAAGCTAGAGTGAAAGAGTTTCCACACATACCTACCTATACATACACTCTCTATTCCTGTCTCTCTTTCTCTCTGTATATATACGTATATATCATAATATCCAGTCTTACAAATTCAGGCCCGTTTGTGTAGTTCTTCTGCGGTACTTTAGAAAGTTGCAGGTTTTGTTCGTGTGGTTTATATGAACAATTATATTGTGTATATGCGGAATATGTAGAAACAAGGGCTGGTCAAATTTAGCTCTTTTCTGCATTTCGCAAAATAGCGTTTCGTATTTGGGTAAGAGAATCAAGGAAATCTTTGTGACCCAGATCACGATTCCTCAGGAATTTCACTGGGTATGTTCCGTTTTTACCTTTCTTCCTTCTCTGTTTTTCAATTTCTGGTTCTTGGCTTTCCTGTTTAAGTCATACCTTTGGGTTTGATTTTTGGGTTGGGATTTCTTGCTTGTGGATTTGGTGGATTTTCTCTGTAGCACTTTGTGTTTTTGTGTGATCTACTAGTCTTTTATTGGAATCTCCACTATTTTCCAGCTTTATCATTATTATTTTCTTTTCTTCATCATATTCTAAGAATCTCAGTTACTTGGTTTACACTCTTGGGTCCATTGTCTTGTTGGGATTGGTTCTCTGATTTTTGGGTCACTTTTTTCCCTTTTTGCTGTTGTTGTTGTGGCATTTATGGTGTCTGAACTTTTTAATTTCAAACATTTTTTTCAGAGGCTACAGTGAGTTACTCAAAGAATATGGATGATGAGTATGAAAAATTCATCAGGAGAATGAATCCACCGAGGTAGTGATAAATAATACGTAATAGTTTATCTTAAATGCCATACCCATTTTGCCTTGTGACATTAACTCCATGATTTCTATGTCTGGTTGTCAGAGTGGTAATTGATAATGAATCCTGCAAAAATGCAACAGTTATACAAGTATGTTTTTTTCTATTTGTTCTTTGCTTCTTGTCTCGTTTTTTCTGAAAAAATTTATGACATTTTTTTAAAACCTTCAGGTGGATAGTGCTAACAAACATGGTATACTTCTTGAGGTAGTCCAAGTTCTTACTGATCTTAACCTGATTATTACCAAGGCTTATATATGCTCTGATGGAGGATGGTTCATGGACGGTAAATTTCCTTTTAACTTGTGGGTAAATAGAAATTGGTTATATTCTTGGAGTGAAGTTTGAGTTGAATGTCTGTTTATTCTTCTTTGCAGTCTTCAATGTTACAAATCAAGAGGGAAGCAAGATAACAGATGAAGCAGTTTTAGATTATATTATGAAGGTTAGTCAAACCTGACATATGATATAATATTTTCCAAATTTGCCTCTACATTGATGCTATGAACCTAGTTACCCCTTATTATCTCAGATCATTGCAAGTTAAGTAAAAAATTTAAGATGATAATACTCCGTAATTATTTCTTCATAAGCTCACAAAAATATATGAGGACAACTTAGTCATGTTACTATGTTTTGCTCCATTGGATTGCTAAATGGGAAATTATTTGTTTGTATTTCCAGTCACTTGGTCCAGATTCTTGCTTTGCATCATCTAAGAGAAGATCGGTCGGCGTCACGTCTGGAGCGGTCCACACATCCATCGAGTTAGTAGGAACTGACCGACCGGGATTACTATCAGAGGTCAGCGCTGTCCTAACCAACCTAAAATGCAACGTGGTGAGTGCCGAGGTGTGGACCCACAACACCCGGGCCGCAGCCATAATCCAAGTCACCGATGAGGAAAACGGGGGGCCCGTCACTGATCCCGAGACTTTAACCCTGGTTAAGAAGCTACTATGCAATGTGTTGAAGGGAAGCAATAAGTTTAGGGATGCTAAGACGCAGATTAATCACGGTGGGGTTACTCACACTGACAGAAGGCTTCATCAGCTGATGTTTGCTGATAGGGATTATGAACGCGTTAATGACGATAATCATCAAGAAAGGCCTAATGTGAACGTGGTTAATTGGCATGATAGGGATTATTCAGTTGTGACGATAAGGTGTAAGGATAGACCAAAGCTTCTGTTTGATGTTGTCTGCACTTTGACTGACATGGAGTACATTGTTTTCCATGGCAATGTCGATGCCGAGGGACCCGAAGCTTATCAGGTAATTATTTCAACCTCAAAATATAGAAGATGGCAGGAAGGAAAGAAAGTGGGGGTGTATTAAATACGAGTTAAACTCAATAAACTTATTTTACTTTTTTTTAGATTCATTTTTATTTAATTATTTCTAATTTATAATTACCAAATAGTTAATACATATGCAATAAATTTAAAAAGTTCAATAATGATTTCCATTTTTGCCTAGCATTTTTAGGCAAACCTAAACACTAGCAAATAATTCTATATGACATTTTCGTCTCTCCCAACATTTTCCTGAATCAAAACATAGCTTCAGGGTTTGTTTGGATTCCGGAAAATACTATGGAAAAAATAGGGACAAAAATGTAGAAGAAAAAGATGTTATGATGATACTCATTTTATTTATTTACTTCTATATATAAACATACCCTTACATACCCATGATTTTTATGGCATACAAAGTAACTTTTAATACATGAAAAAAGATTCTTAAATACCAAACTCGCGGTCTCGGATCAACTGCTTGTCTTAAGAACAAGCAACACGGCTTGTCTTAAACTCAGCCGCCTGGTCTTGAATCTTCCTTTTTCTCATATTTTACTAAGATAAATTTGATGGTCTTATTTGAAGGAGTACTGCATAAGACACATCGATGGCTCCCCTGTAAAATCAGATGCCGAAAGACAAAGAGTGATCCACTGCCTTGAAGCTGCCATTGAAAGAAGGGTTTCTGAGGTCAGCCACTGCACTTTTAGCTTACTATTATGCCTTTTATGATTTCCCTTAACATTACACAACATTAATGAAAATTCACATAAAAAAACAGGGGAAAAGCATGTTAGGTTCAAGTGATACCTTAGCTTGTGTTTGGTTAAAATGGTTGGACTGTAAAATAAACTTGGTTGAGTACTTGGATTTATAAAACTATTTAACTGTAAAACCCTGAATCCATTTAACTAACAATATTGTCTTGGATAATTATAAATAAAGCCAACCAAACAGTAGATATATAACATGTCACCTACATCGAACCAAACACACATAAGGATTTTACTGCACCATTCTTAACAATTATGTAATGTGTTTCTGGATTATTTTGACTGATATCAATATTTCTGTCAATGTTTTTCAGGGATTGAAGCTAGAGCTTTGCACAACGGACAGAGTGGGGCTGCTATCAGACGTGACGAGAATATTCCGGGAGAACAGCCTGAATGTGATCAGAGCGGAAGTCAGAACTCGAGGAGACAAAGCTATCAATACGTTCTATGTTTGTGATGCCTCAGGGTATCCGGTTGACGCCAAGATCATAGATTATGTTAGACAAACGATTGGGCAAACTATCCTACAAGTGAAGGGTATCCCGGAAGAGCTGGGTTCGTCAGCCCCTCAAGAGTCTCCGACCAGGTCACTGTTTGGCGGCATTTTCAAGTCAAGATCCTTCTGCAATTTCCGGCTTGTTAGATCTTACTCTTGAAGAATTCAATTACTATTTCCTTCTCTTTTTTATCTATATCATATAATTATATATATTCAATCAGGTCTTCTCTTAGGCTCTATTAATTATGCGTAAGCCATTTTATTTAGCATTTGAAGATCTATTTACTTAGATTAAAAAAAGATGTCATTAGACATTAGCTAGCCAATGTAAATATGCTTCTTTTTAAAGTAGCCTTTTCTAGTCATGGAATTTCACTGAATTTCTGTTAAGTGTTACTCTTGACGTGCTTCGGTTTGGTAAGGTTTAACCGTTAAGTGTTTAACAGGGTTAAACTGTTTCCTGACGTATCTATCGAAATCATTTAGGTAATGTTTGGCAGAATCTAGTGTGATAAAAAAACATGTGTGAGTTTGGTAACTTTTGAAGTATTAGCCTTGTGATCGAAATAATTTTTTTACTAAACACGTTAATGATATTGCGCGGTTAATGATATTGCGCGGTGAATTGTATAATGATCAAAATCAGTAAAAATGGAATTATTATTTTTATTTAGTGGGATAGAGTGATTGTAGATGATCACTTCAGTTTTTTCATACGATAGTATAATTTTTTTTATTAATAAAATATATTTTAACATTTTTTTTATAATTTAGCAGATTTCGTAATTCAGTCGTTTTAGTTCTAATTTCATAAATTCCACTATATTGAGATGGGCTCTATGCATAGTATGATATGAAGTACTTCCTCCGATTCTAAAAGAAGTTCCGGTTTTGACTTCACACATATTAAGAAAAGAATTTTGACTTTACTGTGGAATGCACTGTTTGACATCTTTGGACACTGTTTGGCATTGTTTGACACTGTTTGGAACTGTTTTGATGTAGATAATTTGACAAATAAGAAAATGTTTGAAAGTGAAACTTAATTTTGAAACTGTCCGAAAAGGAAAAGTGAAACTTCTTTAAGAATCGGAGGGAGTATAATTAACTTAGGGTCCCAAATATTAGTGCAAGGTCAAAAGATTAAACGTTTGACCAAAATTGTTTTCACCTTAAACATGTTGATTAAAGAAAACAAAAACAATAGTCAATATGAGAATAGCCACCTCTTAGACCAAATTTGACTAGTGAGACGTGCATTGAAGTTCCACAAAGACGTGTTGATTAATCCAAACAATGTTTTAGTCACCTCTCAGCCAACATTTATCCAGTAAGGCAATAGTGCGTTGAAGTTTCGCCAGTCGGGGAGGGCATCATCTACTTATGTCTCCATGCATTTATGAGAAAAAGAGTCTTAGGCAACAGCTTAACAGTGCTTTTATAGCGATTTTGTGTACGTTTTTTCATCTTAAAACGGATAATTGGGCTCGGGGAAGTTCTATGTCGGGCTCGGCCTGGCCCAATAAGTACAACTACCTGACTAAAGTGTGGGAAGATCCCTCCCGGCCTCCCGGGCTCCTGGCCCGGTCGGATGTTGCCTATGTGGAATTACTCAAAACATAGAAATTGCTCAAAATATGAGTAAAACATAGACAAAACTTAAAGTGCAATTACATATGGAATATATCTTCTTTTCAAATTACGACTCATTAAGTTCTACGAAAAGAAGAAATAATATAAAATTTTCTCAAATACAATATCGTTCGTGTTTTAGCAAATTTATCATTTTACTCTTATTCAGGTAATTTTTCTTAAAAATTGTCTCTAAAACCACTCTAAATATCAACATTATGGATGGAAGTGGTCATAATGACCGCAAGTATAATAATAACCAACAACTTCAATCACAACCGCAATTTAATTACAATCTTAATGAATGAATGAATGAAGTTAACGGTCCAAAAATCAGCTAAGTCTCTATCCAATTCAAATAAACGGAAGATCATCTAAAAGATAATCCTTGGTTGATGTAATGACCGGATATGGCTGCTGTTCTTTTAGGAGACATTTGACTTGAACCTAGGAATTAAATGATACTTGTCAAAGGTTGGATTTTCTTGTTGGATAAATCTCTAGTATGAGAAGAAAATTCTAGTCGGCAAAAGCTGATGTTTATTTCCACAACAAATGGGGCCACTCATTTCTACCCCCATACAGGCCATTGTTCAAATTTTGTGGTGGATTGGTGTCATCATCTCCATGAAGAAATAAGTGATCAATATAATCGTTTATTTCCACTCTTTATATGATTAACGTGAAAATGATTTTTTCTGTCTCTTCATTTGTATATATAGCTATAGTTGTCTGTTAAATTTTATGAACACATTCATAAAAATCATCATCCTTAATAATAATCCCAATTTTCATTAAAAATTGAGATTATTATTTCAGTCTCATACCAAACTAGTCATATAATAAAGACGTCAGATATTAACTGGCTAGATCAGAGCAAAAAAATTCAATCCAAGTAAAACATCCTATATTTGTAAATAAGTGTGAATAACATGTTCTTTTGGGGTTATTTTTAGATAGCTCCCCTGAGGTATGAACATTTGACACTTTGAGATGGATTATGCATATATTATTGAAGTGCTCCCTAGTTCACTATCCTATGATTCTATCAAATCTCAAATAGATTAAAGAAAATAATTGAATAGCCTTGATCAAATTTCAATGCGTATACTGCAGGAGAACTGGTCTTAAATGCACACTACTTTGTATTTTACATTAATAAAAATATCATGAACACTACTTCGTATTTTACATTAATAAAAATATCGTATTGTCTCCGTATTTTAAAGATCACTTTAGGTTTTGACATAATATTTAAGGAAGAAATAATAGAGGTTATGAATAGTTTAAAAAAAGGAGATAAGGTAGAAAATTATGAAAGAGAAGACAAAATAGAAAAAGTAAAGATAATTGAGTAATTTTAGATGAAAAACTTACCACAAAAGGAAAGTGTAGCAAAGTTTTAAATACATTCTAAATGAGAAAGTGTAGCGAACTTTAAAATACGGAGAAAGTATTTGTTGTTGGGCAAATTGACAATAATAATATCACATTTCTTTGGTCATCGCTCGTAAAATCAAAATAGTTTCACTTTTGCTCACCTTCTTTCTTTAATCTCTAACTATTTATTCTTTGATGATATGTTATTTCAGATTTTATATTTTTCCTTTAAAAACTATTAAATGAAAAATCTCAACTTTCATCGATGTTCTCATACTATTCTCATACATCTTTTTTCAGTATTCTCCATAGAAGTTATTTCTTTATTTTTATTTCTTGAATTGTTGCTTTTGAATCCTTTTGCGGCTTCTAATTTTTATTTTTATTTCTATGTATGTATTCTATTTTCATGCTATAAGGAAAATATAATGGAAAGAATAAGAAAAAGGATTAAAAAACAAGCGGAAGTTAAAAGAAAATATAGAAGAAGGTAGACTGAAAAAATATCTTTTAGAAAAGGAATTAATTAAGATAAATACATCAAAAGGGGAGTAAAATAAAAAAAAGGAAAACAAAACAAAAAAAAGGTATGAGAAGACGAAATTTTGCATTTGTTTGATACAATCATAATTCATACAAAATACTTTTTAATTATTTCCTTTTATCTATTTGAGATGTGATAAGATTGAGAATAGGGGCACTTCAATAATATATCAATAACTTACCTCAAAGTGTTAATTATCCAAACCTTAGGGGAGGTGTGTGAAAATAACCCTGTTTTTTTGTAACTGATTCTCGTTCAAATAATCAAGTGAACATCTTATTTCACGATTTTAGAATTGCAAAGTTATAAAATTAAAGGATTCGCATGCTCAAACATATCAACTTAAATTACTCTGTATTAAAATGTTTTCACTTGAATTGTAATCTTCATACCTTAACTCATCTAGGTGAATGCTTTGATCTATTTACTTCACTATTTTTAAGTTCGAAAATGCTATTTGTACACGGCAAATTGTACACTTCCATTTACATGCCCACAGACAATTTGACCGGTGTTTTGTAAAGAGAATCAGTTTTTTGCACAAACAAAAAAAATTGCCCATGTCAAAAAGCTGTCTGTGACACAAACCTTTTTGTGTTTGTTTGTATGAAAATTGATTTTCTTCATATATCGCCGGTCAAATTGTATGCATAAGACATTTTGATCGTCGTGTAAAATGACGTGTACATGACGAAGCATCATTGTTGTTATCTATTCAATCTAATGGTTTTGTTTGGTCAGAACAAGTTAAATTTAGCTGAGTTTCATTTGATTCAAATCATCTAAATGGAAGTTCATCTTTAAGGTAATATATACGAGTCAAAAAGATTTTGCTATTTTGCATGGTACCACAACGATAGTTTGCATCTTTCTCTTTTGGGATAAGGGTCAGATAGGGTCTCGAACTTGAAAAAAAATGTCAAATAAGGCCATATTTAGGATGCTATGTCCGGCTGACGTCATTTGGGGCGGTTCCCGGTGAAATTTTTTGATGAAATTTTTTGAGAATCTTATTCATTAAGTCTAGTTTACTCATATCAAATTTGAACTAACAATTCAATCGGGAAGACATTCAAATGAATTCTTGAAGATAACTGTGCTTTTAACTGCACTGTTATTTTCAAGAATTCATTTGAATGCTTTCCCGATTGAAGTTTTAGTTCAAATTTGATATGAGTAAACTAGACTTAATGAATAAGATTCTCAAAAAAATTCATCAAAAAATTCCACCGGGAACTGCCCCAAATGGCGTCGGCCGGACAGAGCATCCTAAATATGGCCTTATTTGACATTTTTTTTCAAGTTCGAGGCCCTATCTGACCCTTATCCCTTCTCTTTTCAATTATTGGTCAAAAGAAATTTGATGACATAGTCACATTCTCATTGCAATAACCATGTCCTTATAGTGCTATATCGAGAACCATGCTTTTGAGTGGGCCGTGACCTAAATGGCCCAAATCTAAACAAAGTTTTGAGAAGTTTTTTCCTTTTAAAGGATAAACCTATAAATGCTCTCTCTTTTTCCCTTTTGATGCAAGGAAAGAAGTTTCAAAACGGAGGGGTCAGTTAAGAAGGCTTTCAAGTTTTCAATTATTGCGTTTTCTTGATCCCACCTTTTCAAACTTTTTAATCTACGTCCGTTAAGAAGACCCAAATCATGCTTGTTGTACCCACCACTTTGTATTCACCTTATTCCCACCTCTGTGAAGGCTATTTTTTTGTCTCTGAAGCCAGTTCACAGACAAAATATGTCTTTGAATTCCTTCACAGACATATTTTGTCTATGAAGGAATTCACAGGCAAAAAAAATAACTTCACAAACATGGGTGGGTACAAAAGTGGGTATAAAAGTGGGTACAAACATCATTTTAAAAAGGGATAAGAGTCAGATAAGGCCTCGAACTTGAAAAAAAAATGTCAAATAAGGCCATATTTAGGATGCTCTGTCCGGCCGACGCCATTTGGGGTGGTTCCCGGTGGAATTTTTTGATGAATTTTTTTGAGAATCTTATTCATTAAGTCTAGTTTACTCATATCAAATTTGAACTAACAATTCAATCGGGAAGGCATTCAAATGAATTCATGAAGATAACTGCGCTTTTAACGGTACAGTTATCTTCAAGAATTCATTTGAATGCCTTCCCGATTAAAGTTTTAGTTCAAATTTGATATGAGTAAACTAGACTTAATGAATAAGATTTTCAAAAAATTTCATCAAAAAATTCTACCGGGAACCACCCCAAATGGCGTCGGCCGGACAGAGCATCCCAAATATGGCCTTATTTGACATTTTTTTTCAAGTTCGAGACCCTATCTGACCCTTATCTCTTTTAAAAACCACTTTTAAACCTATGTTTAGACCCGGGAAAATGCTCGGAAGAAAAAGAATGTTAAAAAAAATCATTTTCTTATGTTCCAATTTACCTCAAAAATAAAAAGACAGTGGCATACAGTTAATTTTCTTTATTTTTTTATACATGCTTGGATTGTTTAATATTTATGTAATTCCAAAAAAATAAGCACTAACGAATAGAACGAGTATACGGAGTACTTCGCATTACATAAAGTTAGATGAATTCAAACAATTGCTTCATATTTCTCAATATTTTCTTTTAATATAGGTTTCTCCTATTCTTTCATTGCTATTTTATCTCCTATACTTCCTCAGGTACCAATTGAGACCTAAAACGTGTCTTTATATGATTAATAAAAATAAATATTCAAGAATGTGATTCATAAAAATATGATTCTTGTACTTTCTTCTTGATGACTCGAAATAAACAATTTCATAAAGGATCAACTTCACGCACCCATCCAAATGATATTCGCACCGATTTTTCACCATCTATGTTAGAAGCGTTATTGCATTACACCAATGCTCTACCTTTTTACAACAAAAAAACGGAGTATTAGTAAAAGTATCACAATATATATAATACGTTACTGCCCAAGTTATAAAATAATTTTCTACATCCAACCTAGTTTTCATGGTTAAAAAAAACACTTTTTTATTCTCCGTATGAAATATAATCTCACGGGGACAACAAATTATATGGTTACATGAATTGGTATAAATGTCACAACAAATATAATCTATATAACACAAATGGTCTCTGAGAAACTGTATTTTTTATCTTTAGAATTTTATTAATTGGGCTAAAAACAATTGGTCTCATCTAGTTTATTATATAGAGATTGATCTGATTTATTCTGATTTTGTCTGATCTAAAACTGAAATTAGCTCAACTAAAAAATCCTTAAAGTTACATAAATAAATATGGTATTAAATAAAAATAGAAACAAAGATAATGAATATATTCTACATAAAATAAAGTGATCCGGATTGGACCTAAATTTTCAAGTCTAGTTTTTTAGTTTTGTTTTTGTGTGTATTCAAGTCTAGCCAGATCAGATAAATTTTTGTGCATGTATATTTTAAAAACATACTCCTTCTGTCTCTTTTTACTTAGTCAAACGCTATTTTTCAAGTCAATGATATTAAATTTTGACGATTATATACTTATACTCAGTAATATTGATAATATAAAAATGATATAAAAATGTTCTTTGTTAAGAATACTACTACGCATTATAAAAATATACTTTTTTTAAGTTTCACATAAATATATTAGCCAAAATAATGGGTCAAATTTTATCATCTTTGACTAATTTCCCATGGAGTGGATACTTATAATAAAATAATAAAGAAAAAAAGTAATTTTATATAATTGAAACACATGTAGAGCCGGTTAGGTAACATCGAAATTGATTGAATCAGCTATTTCCGTTGAAATTGATGAAGTTCTTATAAAAGGGATTAAATTGACTGAATGTGCTGAGTTATGACTTATGAAAAAAATCATTTAAAAGATTCAAACATTAACTCTAAACATTTAACTTTAAGTAAAATAAAGTAAAATAAAGTTTACATTACATTTATAGAATTGAAACGATTGAATTATGTTGAACATTTAGAAAAATATTAAAATTTTAGATATACATTATTGGTGTCATATGTATCATTATGCAAAATTATTCAGTTTGATTTTTTTTTTGTAAAAACGGCTCGGATGAAAAATGTTATACTCCATCCATCCTATAAAATTCTTTCCATTTCACATTTTGGATCTCCAATTTTTTTTCATTTTCTTTTTTAGAAATTTTTTGTGAGTAACATTGGTTTTCATTTTTTCTTATTGAAGTTAAAAAAATGATTGAACAAGGATTTATTATTTGATACTACGGTATTAGTAATTTTAGTTCAAAAACTTAAGGAGGGGCACAAATGCACAATAGTAACCGTATAATTAGACTTTGTTTGCAACCACTTGTGCTTAAATAAAAGCACTTTTGGGGAAAAAGTGATTAGTAGTAAAAGTTGATAGTGTTTGGTAAAATAAGTGCTTTTTGTGTAATAAAAAAAGTAAAAAGTAGATTCTTCACGGAAACCGAGAAAGTAAAAGTTGGTAGTGTTTGGTAAAATAAGTGTTTTTTTCTTAAAAAAAGTTAAAAGCATTTTTTAATGGATTGCAAAGAGAGCCTAAGAAATAACGGGGTGCAAAAAGCAACCCCCTCTCATAAAGCTGAAATAAACACCCTCCACATAATGTTAAACACAAACTAGCCTACCACATCAAGAAGACAAGAACTGTGAGTAAGATCCACTGTCAAAACTGGGTTTTTTCCTTCGAGTTGCGACAGATATATCTCTATAATGATTCTAAAGCAGGAGTTTCATTTTTCATAAAATTAAAACACTAAAGAACATACAAATAACATTATAAAAAGAACATAGAAATACATCTCATACTCATAACTCTTGATAACTAATGAGCTGCAAAAGGTAGAGAGGAGCAGCATGGCTCTGGACAGCCTCGAGATGTCCATTATGTGTTTGATTAACACAGATCGTCCCACCGAAAAGGCCCACCAAGTTGGAACTTCTTTACCTTCTTCTTTTCTTGCCTTTTCCCAACTGCCCAGACTTGAATGCATGTTCTTGTTCTTGAAGAAAAGCAAGAGCTTTCCCAAACTTCTCGGCTCTATCTTCTGCTACAGCTACTTTCTCTTTCTCCTTCACTCCAAATAAGAAATGGTTATCCTTACGAATTTCCCGAATAGCCCCTTTCGCTTCCTGTTTCACACGTTTCTTTAGCTTCCTTATCTCAGCCCGTTCCCGATCTGGATCATAATCCCTACCCTTTACAAAGCTGCAGAGTTCAATTTTATAGTCAAACAACTATTGTAATAATAGATATACTATAGAGGCAATAAAGACTTGATTTAGCCTCAATTAACTGTACGCTAATACTCAATTTCATAAGCAGCTTTCTTTAAGATTAACTTAGTCCTCAACTATCCAATTTAAACATCGTTTGGTTTATACTTTCCTCCATATTTTTGTTCTCTAGACTCAGTTTGGTTGATACTTTTCAAATTTCTCCTATACTTTCCTACCCCTTTTTCTTTCTCATTTTTCTTTCATTACAAATTTCAGAATAAGTAGTTTTTGACTTTCAAAATTGGCTTCAATGGTTTTTACCAAAAGCTACTCCTTTCCAAATAACCCTTAAAAAATTGACTCTTAGTTCCTGTGCATTATTTTCTCTAATCCATAAGGGCAATTTCATACAATGAGAACTAGAATGGTAAAGCATAGCCTAAATGAATTGAAAATTAGGTCTAAAATTTTAGTGACCTTTGACAAAAATACCCTTCATATTTAGAACGAAATATGTACGAAGAACAAATGGAATAATAGTGTATAGTTGAGGGATTAGATTGGGTATTAACTCTAAATAATTAACAATCAAGACAATGTTGAATGTATTAAAGTAAGTAGCAAAGAAATAATACTTCTCTTCAAATTTAGGAGTGAACATTCTGATTGGCACGGGCTTTTGCTTCCTCATTCTGAGAGGTTGACGCAGCCTGAGAGTGTCCTCTATTTTATTTTCAATTAATTGGGTAACACTCCTGATTTTCTCCTGCAATGCATCTGGCATATGCTTCTGTACTGCCAAGTCATTCAAAAGTTTTGTGATTGGCATGAATATTTCAGGAAAGGAATTAAACCCTTCATAAATATTGACGAATCCTTGTAGAGTCTCCATGATTGCTACAAGGATGCTGGCTCTGCAATCAAAGCACCATAAGATCTAATTAGAGGGTGTTTGTTACAACTTTATAATGAGTTGGCTGTTTCAGAAACCAAATCAGTGGAATTAACTTAAAGCTTTTTAAATGAATTTCAAGAAGTGATTATTCAGCCTTCAAACTGAATTCACAAAATTTTAGAAAATTGACTCTGATTGTCATTACATATCAAGCAAGTTTCCTAAATAGAAGTAAAAACAAAGTGCTTTCCCTAGATAAGAGTACTACGTTTTTCCTTAAATAGGAAGAAGAATTTTTATCCTTAAACCATACTGCCATGCTGAGCTGAATGATACTTCCATCTTTTTAATCCATTATAATGTCATAAATCATAATATGGCAGGATGAACTCCTATTTGGGGGGGGGGGGGGGGATATAGTACTCCTATTTAGGATAAAAACAATTTTACTCCTATTTTGTGACATTTGCCATATATATTTAGGTATATTTGAACACCAGAAAATCCTACCTTGTTATTTTAGGTTAACTTGGAAAACACAAAGAAAAATGAAATAAGATTCATTTTTGAAACTCCATACATACATTTAGACTTGCGTAGTATATTTATACGTTAGAGAAATAATTGAATACATAAATAAAAAAGAGTTTGCACGAATGACTCCATAAAAAAATACCCCCACAATTTTCTTTCCTTCCAAGTTCACCAACTATTTTATTTTCCTTGTATTTTGAGAGTTCTTAAGTGATCCTCAGTATTTTTTTTCAAAACCGTACTATAACAACAGCAACTAATTCAGCGAAATTATTGCTATACAGCATGCAAATCTAAATCAATTGATTTTGAAAAAAAAATATTATGACTATATTCTGCCACAAGTCACAAACTTTAATGTGTGCAACACGCATAGAAATGAAAACCTCAATTCAAGTTTAATGATACTATCAACAAGCCAGTACGATTTCATTGAGAGTCTTTTGTGCATGTGCTGATGACCTCTTGAATTAAAACTACAAAACAAATGATGCCTTAAGAATGACAGAGGTAACCTGAACTCATCAGAGCTAAAGTAAGGGGAATCTACGGGTAGCTCCATCAGCATTACAAGATTCAAAGCTTTAATTTCTGTGTTTGTACTCTGCATATGAAGCAGAGGCCTCACTCCTTTAACCTCCAAAAGAGAACTCAACTGCAGGAAATAAAGATGAAACTTAGTACTTCTCTTGATTCAGCCCTTGTTTGGTTGGAGGGTTTCAGAGGTAAGTGGTGTTGTTGATTTTATTAATAGAAATACATGAATAAACAAAACATATACTCCCTCCTTCCTGCTAATATTGTCCCATTTTACCTTTTCGGAAAAATCCCACTAAAATTGTCCCATACCAAATTTGGTAAAGTTTGTGTGACTCTAAATCATTCTTACTTTATCAATTAATATGAACCACATAACCCACTTTTCTTAATACCGCGCCACCCCCTTCCGTCCCAATATTAGTGGGACAGAGGTAGTTGTTTTCTAGTTTATATGTTTAATACTAACAAATACAGATAAATTCCTAAAAACCTAATTCTCTCCTTTACTCCAAAATCTCCAAACCAAACAAGTCCTTAATGATACATAGTATTATTGTGTGTCACACAAGTCTCAATTGAAGTGAACCTGAGAATTTTTAGAACCCGTTTCTTTTTTGTCAGACGCTGCAAGTAGCATTGTTTGAATGAAGATTATAGCCTCAGGACAATATTTCAGAGAATGCTTAGTGACCTGCAGAAAAATTAATGGAAAACTATTAAATTAATTAATTAGGCAGAACTTGTGAAATAATGTAGTCCTGATACAATTTATATGGACACTTACAGAGAGCACCAATGAGCATAAGAAAGTTCCAACCACAACATCCCGGCCACACGTGATAGGACACCGTGTTAAATACTCACAAATTAATAGCATAGCCGGAGTCATAACAACATGGCGGAAATCTGATGATGGAAAAATAAGAGACCAAAGTCTCAAAAGAAATAGTGTTTTGGTAGAAGGCCAGCAGTTTTTCCCTAACAATGTGCAAATCAAGATCAGAAAGATTGTGGGAAAACAGACATCATAGCATTATTCATCCGTCCCGCAAAAAAAGAGTCACAGTTGACCAAGTTATAACTTTTTATTTTTAACAAGGTAGAACCGCCGATAATAAATAATACTTTCATTCTTTAGTTGTTTGTTTTGTTATCTAACTAAACATATTTAATTGAAACAGACTCTTTTTATATGACGGAGAGAGTAGAACAGATCAAGTCATATCCAACCTTCAATCTTAAGATCTTCACACAACAGAAACCTGGTTCTTTGTAGGCGTTGCCGAGCACATATGGCTCCAAAATAGGGAATCTCTACACTCATCTCCATAATTGGCTTTACAAGCGAATCCAACAGTTTCAAATTTAATGGAACTTTATTTGCCAGAACTGCAAAATATTGTAATAAAATCCCATAGAATACCTGGGGAAAGAAATAGAGCACACTGACAAAGTTGAGAAGTAGAGATTGAATGTAGCAGTTAAGATGGAAGCTATCATTTTCTTTTCTTTGTTAATAAAGAGTAAGAGAAAAAACAGTTACATACTTGCATTTTTTTCCGGTTCTCAGCTGCTACCTTGATTGCGTTGAAGGTACGAATTCTCTTAATTGCTTCAATTATTTGATCATCAGAGCATTTGTCTAACAAAGAAGTAAATTCTTCAAAGCACTTTGGAGCTTCAATAGTATAAGGAAGTTCTACTTGTGCTGAATGCTGCTTCAGATATGGTTTTGATTTATCAGTTATTAGGATTTTACATTTTTCCTTCCCTTCTGCTTCTAATAGCAAGTTAGTTTTATTAACTTCTTCATGTTCTTTGGCAATATTATCTCCGAAGTCATCTTCATCATCCTCAAAATCAGTGTCAAGATTTTCATCATCACTCTGTTCCCAGTCCTTCACAGTCTGAGACTTTGCAAGATCATCACCATCATCGTCCTTGCCAGTTCCTTCTCCTTCATCATCATCATCATCTTCTTCTTCAAGGTCTTCCTCTTCATTTTCTGAAGCAGTAGATGATTTATCTTCATTTTCAGAATTATCCTCATTTTCCCTTTTCAAAATTGCATCGATCCAGCCCAATTTAGATTTGGGTTCTTCCTCATGGGAGAATGAGTCGCCAAGATCATCCCCAGATATTGGTGCTTTGATAGATGCATCCTTATCTTCTTCACATGCATTGTCATCTTCATCACTGGACTCATCAGCAGCAACCATCCTCTTCTTTCTTTCTTCCTAAAGAAATCAACTTAAAACTCAAACATTGGTTTGGAACAAAAAAAAAGGTTTTTTAAAGGAAGAATGCAGAAACTTGAGGAAATGCCAAGGGTCTATTTAAGTAATAAAAAGTTCCCTGTTTGTCACTTGGAAAACCATTGCCATTTGAAATTAGATTGTTTAATTCACTTTAATGCTCTGTATCTGACAGTGACAATGCACAAAGTGGCAGTGGGTCCGTAGTTGAGTCATTCTTTGGCAAGAATTATTTTGAATACAAATAAAATTGATATTTTGGGGGCAAACGAAGTTCAGGTTAGTATCTTAGATTATATAAGTTAAATATACTACACACAAAATAAACTGTTCCTTTTAATATAGACAGCGCAATACACTACTACTCCGCATATCTGAAATTTTTGAGGGACTTCAGAGTTAACATAACATCAATATCTTACAATATGGGTCTTTTAAAAAATATTGTGTCAATTACATATTTAAAACACGAATGAAAGCCAATATGTCAATTACATATTTACCTCCAATCTTTCTAGGTGCTCTTTCTCCGCTTGGGCAATTTCTTCAGCTGTCTTTGCTAACTCTGATGCTTGAGCACGCCTTTCCTCAGCAACCTCACTTACTAGCACGTCATAATCATCGTGTGTTTCCTGCAATAATCATTTCAGAACATAAGTCAGCATACACATTCAAGTTATAAGCAACAATAATTTGAAGTTAGAATAATTAAATTGCAGCTTAGATGTTAGGGACCTACATAGAATAATAATAAATGAGAGTAATAATAATATTAGAATAATTAGAATACATAGAGGTGGGGGTAGAATAGAGAGGAGGTTGCAATTGTTAGTTGGGCTTGGGACTTGGAGAGTGGGGACTCTTAAACTGCCTTTGTATTTCTCTTTCTACATTTTCTGTTATACGACACTTCCAGATGATACGCCATCTCATTCTTCATCTTGTTTCTTGAATTCACCGTGAATTAGCTAAGAACTTAACATTGATATCAGAGCATCCTTCTTGCGCCTGATCATGTGATAGGAACCCATTAGTATAATAATAGAAGTATAACTAATATTTGTGATAGGATGTTAAAGGGTCCTGGGCTAGGTACTAGTTAGTATTGGGCTGGCCCATAAGTAAGTATAAATAGAGGGAGGGAGAAATAAGAAGGAGGCTTTTGGACTGTTTAGTCTCTGGGAACTGGGAAGATCTGAGAAAGTCGGTTTCTCTTATCTTTGGGGGCTTCGGCCTGGTTACTGTACTGTTCTTCTTGATTCAATAAAAGTATTCATCTGTTTCTTCTTAATCTTTCTGTAATTGTTCTGGATTTCTGGAGGTCTCTAACATTGGTATCAGAGCCGTTATTTCCTGGAGATAGAGAATCTGAATCATTGGTACCATGGAGGAGGATTTCTACATGACGCCACAAATGGAAAAAAGAATTGAAAATCTGAATCGAAAGACCAAGGAGATGCAAGTTAATATGGCGACGAATATAGCAGCGATGGAAGCAGCGATCCAAGCTTGTTTCGCCGATTTGCAGAACCAACTTCAGATTTGTTCGCGAAATCGATCGCACACTTCACGTAGGTCGCATCGAGACTCTCATCATGGACGTACGCAACATCCGATTGAACCAGAGGAATCGGAAGAACAGAGTATTCGCATAAGACCTGGAGATCGGTCGAGGTCCAAGTCGCAGAAGGAATCGCCAAAGTTGCAGACGGAATCGCAGTCCAAATCGCGAACTGTTTCTCACCAGGCGCAGACTTTATCGCATCGTTCCTCGCATCCCACTACTCGCCATCATCATTCACCTCTCCATCACCACTCGAGCCACTCGCGAAAATCAGTCGGTTCAGGGGAATTGGAAAGAAATTCCGAACATTCGCATCACCATCGCTCTTTGCAGAACACTTCTCATCATTCTTATCATCAATCTTCGCTTCAGACTTTTTCAACGGGCATCAGTACGCGTTCAAGAAAGAAGCTAGGGAGGGGAGAATCATCATCTTTGTCATCAAAGGACTCTCACAGTTCCCTATCTTATTCTAAAGCTGTTTCTCTAAAGTCAGCTATTTCAAAGAAGGAGGAATTACCTCTGTTCTACGAGGAAGAAGCATATGAATGGATAAAGAAGATGGAGAGATATTTCCAAACCCACACTATTGCAGAAAGATTTAAAGTGGACATGGCAGCAAAGGCAATGGGGGAAGCCGCAGATGGCTGGTTTCAATGGTGGGATTTTCATAAGGGAGAAGACAGCTGGGAGGCTCTAAAGGAAGATTTGATGAAGGAATTCCCACCCAAACGCCGGCCGAAGACAGGGAAGACAGTAAGACGAGATTCATCAAAGTCACGAAGAATTTCCTCCAGTGCGAAATTGAGTACCACAGTGCCCAGCTCGCTAGTTAATCATCATCATCCATTGTCATCAGAAGGAATTTTTACTGATTTGCAGATGTCAACTGAATTTGTAATCAAGCAAAGGAATAAGAAAGATGAAAATAAGAATGTTCTTGTCAAAAGTCAACAACCTCAGAAAGCAAAGGAAATGGTTTTAGGATATTCAGGAGTACATGATGCAGAATGGCAGCCATGGGTTGAGAGCCTACCTGGCTATTCCAAGCTTGACTTGCAGAATCCAATTAAAGCACCTGAAAGTTATCTCATGAGAGGAGATCACTTTGCTAAGGCAGCTTTATTCTTTCCTGATGTTTTTGACTTCTTCACAAGGTTCTCACAGTGGATGGCTCTTAAGAACTATGTTGCTGCCAGAAGGATAGAAACTTTCCAGAGTTCTGTTAATTCTTTTGCCCTCATGCCTTTGGCTGGAAAACGCAAAGATGATAGAAGAACACCTCATAGCAATGAATTTGGGCTCTCCAAATTCATTCCTGGAAAATATGGGGGTGAGGTCAGGAAGTCTTTAACAGTACTTTCTGAGGAAGATGGATGGTATGGGGATAAAAATTTGGCCTACGTCGGACATTCAGTTCGAAAAAGCATAAGGGATGCTAATGAACATAAGAGTGTCATGATTCTATCCTTGGGCTCCTTAGGTATGGGACTGAAGGGGGCTGATAATGTTACTTTTGGTAGCAGTGTTGAAGAAAAGGTTGATGACATACATGAGTTTGGTGGGGTGAACACTCTTAAGGAATCCAATATGCTCATGCTTATTCTGCCCGAAGTTCATCAGGATCCTGTCCCTGAAGCTCATTCTGTGGCGGCAAGAACTACTGGGTCTCTTATAAGGGAACAGAAAGAAGAAAACTTCATAGACTTAGGACTGGACTCTGGCGGTTAGATAATCTGAAACCGCATGAGAGCACTGTGGTGCACAACTGCTGTCGGTTGTTTAAGTTTTATGAGAATAATCCTGCTATTACAAATCATTTTGTCATTGATACTAGCTGCCGTAGAGAAAAATGGATGAAAAATGGTGATCTTTGCATAGAGCTTGTTGCAGACAAGGAGTTGAGCAACTTGAGTAACACTAAATCTACATCCAGCACATTGATAGTCTCAGAAGTTACAATCCTTGGGGAGTCTCATGAAAACAGGGAAACACTTGTAGCTAGTGAGTGCTTGAAGTCTACTGCATCCATTGAAACTGTACTCAACATAGCTTCTGCAGCAGCACCATTTGTGATTTTGAAGGAACAAGTACTGAAGCTTCTGGTTCAGCAATCTGGGAGATATTGGGAAGGAAGAGGCTCCAGGATGAAGAGGAAGTTCAAGATCAAAGCTGTGTCCTATCACCCACCTTGAGGACAAGGTGGTTTTTCAAGGGGGGAGATATGATAGGAACCCATTAGTATAATAATAGAAGTATAACTAATATTTGTGATAGGATGTTAAAGGGTCCTGGGCTAGGTACTAGTTAGTATTGGGCTGGCCCATAAGTAAGTATAAATAGAGGGAGGGAGAAATAAGAAGGAGGCTTTTGGACTGTTTAGTCTCTGGGAACTGGGAAGATCTGAGAAAGTCGGTTTCTCTTATCTTTGGGGGCTTCGGCCTGGTTACTGTACTGTTCTTCTTGATTCAATAAAAGTATTCATCTGTTTCTTCTTAATCTTTCTGTAATTGTTCTGGATTTCTGGAGGTCTCAAACATCATGGCCGTCAAAGGAGTAAAGAGTAGAGATTGGATATTGAATATAGAGGAAATTGATTATGAAATGATGGAACGTAGTTGGGAAAACTGGGAAAGTGACCTGGAGAGGAGTCATGAAAAGAGACGGAAAGAGTTAGCGAAGTCACGCAAATTGATACAGCGGAACCATCGGCATAAGCGAGGAAGATCAAGGACCATAAAGCGATGCCGGAACTCCAAAAGCAAGAATAGTTCGCAAACTGCTCTTCAACCTTCGCTGAGTTCGTCACTACTTGTTTCGCTGAGTTCGCAAGCTTCGTCTCAGGTCTTAACCATTTCTACCAGTTCGCCACGTTAAACGAGCATTACCAATCGTCATCGCAAGTTGATTCTCACCCTGAGCAAGACTTGTTTAATGGTTTGCAGATGTCATTGCAAATTTTGTTAATGGTTTCCGAGTCAGCTCAAGTTTCTGTGCTGGTGATTTCATTGACGACACCAAATCTTGAATGGAAGACGGCAGAAACTTCAGTGACGGAATTAGATTCAGACGAGGATTCTAATCAGTCAACGGGAGACTCACCAGATAATGTGGAAGAGTCCGAACTGCCCAAACCTAATAGTCCTTGCAGCCAGGAAGGAATTCATACCTACTACACTGGTCCTGTCTTGGAACTGAACAACATTACCAAAGGGGCTGATGAGGAAGGCATGTATCACCCACCTATCCTTACCTATGAGGGTCAGAGGTATGCTCTTGTACCGGAACGAAATCCAGAATATTTTAAAACTTTGTTGGGTAGAGTTCAAGAACATGAGTTAGGGATTCTAGGGGATATTGTGCACCTTTATTCATCAAAGAGAATTGTGGAAGGGCTGAATAAGATTGATGGCTTCAGATTTGATTATGTTAATTGTATTAAGAACATTCAAGATAGATTGGAGGTAGGAATTAATGGAAATTGGAAGAAAAAGGTTGATGATCCTACTGAAGGTTATGCTGACATGTTTCTGATATTTGACAATGGAATAAATCCTGCTATCATCCAAGAGGCCTTGATAGTTGGTGAAAATGTGAAGAGAATGCCAGCATTTTGTATACCTAATCAAGAAACAGGTATAGGTTTGGACTATTGGGTTCATAGGGGTAAGGTGTTTGACTTCCCTTGCTATGAGAAACTCCTTCTCCCATTCTTGGTGATCACACAGAATAGAGTGATAAATATTAAAATGCTGCCTGTTGACCTCAAGCCTATAATGGAAGGACTTACAATGTTTAAATTGACCTCTCAGATGTTTTTTTGTTGAATGATCCTGATTTGGCAAATTCTTACTCTATGGCTAGAAGCCCAGCAGTTGGATGCCTTTTTCATATGAGTGGCTCTTACAGGGAAATTGTTAGATCCTAACTCGATTCTTCCAGCCTCCAGCATCAGCAACAAGAATTGAATGATTTTAGTTCTTTAAATATGTTGACTATTGGGAGAAAGGGTGTTCTTGAAGTTCATCAAGCATCTGGGTGTTAGAATCTGGTGTTGAGAACACGAATTACTATTCATTGATCATCTATCAGGACCTACTGGTGTCAACTACACTTTTTAAGGACAACTTGATGAAATGTTTTACTCATGCTGTCTTGAGACAGAATCCAAATGCTTTTCCTTCTGGCCTGAGCGCTTGGTCCTGTTTTCGTAAAGGAAATGATACATCTAATAACTCAGGAGGGTGGCATGATGAGAGGGCATACCACGTGAGAGGGTACTGCTATGTCCTAGTGGACAGTGATCAATGCATCTCAAGAGTTTCAATGGCACAGACCAAGCTCGGGAAAGAGGTTGATCTGGAAAGAAATAGATCAAAGTGTGATGGTCCAAAGCAAGGAAAATGAGGAGGAAAAATCTCTGAGAATTGATAAACAACCAGGGAGATACGGGGAAGGTTTCGACTGCCGGTTTTATAAGGCTATAAACTGTGAGTACATTATGAATCTCAACAAACCTACTCTAAGATCTTATAATGAATCAACTAAGTCTCCTTTGTCTCCTTGGGTTATGGCTGATTGTTCCTCAGAATATCTGGATTTGATAAAGTCGTTTACTTACTTGGTTCTTGCAAAACCAATTGGAGCATCAAGTCCAAAACAAGATGGAGAGTCAATAAGTGATTTGTGCTTCTTCAATGGGTTAATGGTTTATTTGAAGAGTTCATAAGTAAGCACAGGGAGTATTCTGCCACCAGGATTTTGCTTCTGCTCCTACTGACAGTGAAGAACAGGAAAATAAAGTTTCAAGTACTGGAGTTACAGGATCAGAATTCAGTGAGATATTGGGAAGGAAGAGGCGCAAAGATGCGGAAGAAGATGTTTGTCAGGACTGTCTCTTATACCCACCTTGAGGACAAGGTGGGGGGTAGAATAGAGAAGAGGTTGGAATTGTTAGTTGGGCTTGGGACTTGGAGAGTGGGCACTCTTAAACTGCCTTTGTATTTCTCTTTCTACATTTTCTGTTATACGACACTTCCAGATGATATGCCACCTCATTCTTCATCTTGTTTCTTGAATTCACGGTACCTAACATTAGATAAAGAACTGGCATGGCTATATTTCAAAGAGAGAAAAATGTGGAGTCCAACTACACCTTTTCTGAAGAATCTTTAGTTTTATATGGCTGTTTTAGTGACACCAATGCTTTTGACTGCATCAATGAAGTGAAATTTTTGTCCAGCTGTTCAAGCAGTTGCTCATTCTCTTCCTTTTCCTTTGCTTTTTGAGCCTAATAGGAACATAGAAAAAATGAATAGAATAATAAACTCGAACCTTACAACAATCACCTCATAAAATGATAATAAGGTAAGTAACCATCCCAACCTTGAAAAATTTACTCTTTAAAATTATTTCTTCCATCACTTCTTTCTTGGATTTGTGCCTCTGTGAAAGGAGATGTCACACAAATTTAGCAGCTAAGCTCAATAGGGAAGTAAAATAAATCAAATTGGCTAGCCTGGGTCACAGTACATCTCACATTTTCATCTTCTTCAATGAGATTATTTTGTGTATCACGTGATTCATGAGAATCAAATTGTTCCAGGACAGCTGACCTCTCTACATGAAAAAAAGACTCAGCATGAATAGACACAACAAAGTTTAGAGTTATTAGCAGATTGTTTGAGCCCATGCCTTATATGAGTATATAAATTAATTATCAAGATAACATCTAAAAAACTTCTCGACCCCTAAGTTCAATTATAAGTTGATGAGCGTCTGACATTGAAATGAACAAACTAAAGAAAATATCAATCAGAATTTTCAAAGAAAAACAGTCCCTAGCTAGCATCCTAAAGCATGCATAGTGTAGAGCATGTCATATTATATTAGATAGTCATGTTTTTATAACATACCCCCCAAACCTGAATTTATCTTTATATTTTCCTTTCCGATCTGTCCCAAAATAACCTTCATGTTTCCTTTTTAAGAAAGAAGTACATGGTTGTTATCCTTTCCTTCATTTCAACCCAAATCCCAACCATACCTCATTATTTTCAACCCCACTTCTTAACAAGTGTGTCAAGTCAAAACGATTCAGGACAGAAGCAGTTAAAACTTAAAATGAAAATCAAATGATAATTGAAGTAACACACATTAGAATAGCTAATTTGAAGTAATAAACATGTCATTTTTGTTAGTCATTATTAATGTAATAAAGGACAAAGAGAATGTAACCAATGTACACAAGGAGCATGCCATAATTCCATCGATGACATAATCTAATACCCTAATTTTGTTTTTACGCTCATAGTAGTTCTCCAAAAAATGTAGTACTCTGTACTCAACAACTACAATCATGAGCCGACCCCAAAATCTTTTGGGACTAAGGCTTGGAGTTTGTTGTTATTGCAACAACTACAATCATGCACAGATATGCTAAATATAACGTAAAAGGCCTCGACTGTTTTCCTAAAAAATGGAAATAAAAAGAAAAATCCAATTCAATAATGGATACTTACTCTCACTCTTTCTATCATCTTCATCAAGTGGCACTTCATCCTCAAAATCATCCCTTCCTGCAGAGAAACTAACATCCAAATCCTCATCTTCCCCATCCGACAAGTTATACTTGCTTTTTTTCTTTACGTTCAGCTACAATTAGAAATGATAGACTATGATTAATAAATAAAGACTCATTTTTTTCTGTAGAGTAAATAAGCAATAGGAGTAGATAATACTACGTAATATATACTGAAAATAATCACCTAATTCATTGGCCACAATTTTAACAGAAATAAATCGCACTACAAAATTAGATTACTTTTTCTAAAATTTATAAAAATAACTTAAAAAATCGCTGTATCAGCTGATTCTATTATTTGTAATAAACTGTTTCTCTGTGAAAAGATATTGCCCAAGATTCTTGTGCTGCAAACTGAGAACCCACACATACCCGTCGTTCACGCTGAGACCTAAGAATAGCTTTATCAAACTCTTGAAGTGTTTCATCCTGTTCCCCAATTCTCTTGTCTACAAACACGGAGGACTTTGCACTTTGTTCATACTCTTTCAGCAGAGTCTTCTTCCTCTGTTAATAAAAAACACAATTGATGACCGACATGCACAGCAATAATTGGTTAGTTGTTCCAGTTTTCTTCTGAATATCTCAGTGATGGCGGAAGCAAAAAAAAGGACCTTTTCTATGGCGAGAGAGCGTGCAAGGCCAATTCGACGTTCCTCTCCTTTCCTTTTTTTGCCAAGGATATCGAATTTCCGGCGAGACCAGATGGCTTCAAAAGGATTGGGAGCTGGAGCTTTGAGCTTCATGTTAATGGCCTTCGGTCCGGACTTGCTCTTCTTTGTTTTCTTCTTCACATTCTCACTCTTCATGGCTTTTGCTTTCTTCGCCATGACGAATTCGCCGGAAATTTATTTCAGGGTTGCTCAGCCGATCAATTTCAGGGTTTAAGATTTTAGTGAGACGAAATCTATAAGCATATAAAAGCTGGACCGTGATGTCAGCGGGAGAGAGATGATAGAGAGAAACGAAATAAATACAAATGGAGTGAATTGGGCATGTTAATTTTTGGTTGGACTGGATCAAACACCTTGGGCCAACAATTTTAAATCATTTCATTTGGCAAATTTGTAGTGCAAATTACCCGTAAGGTTTAGTTTTGTGTGATCCATATCTTTTATGTCCCAATTATTTTTCCTTTTCATTTTTAACTTTTGTTTTTTCAATTATCTTTATTTATTTCACTTTTAGACCTTCTCGCCTCTAGATTAGAAGTTTAGAACTCACGAGACGTATCTCCTGCTCTGGCCTCTGTGAAGGATCGAGATCCGCTCTTCTCTCTTTTCTTTGGCTCTCCGTCTCTCCGGCATCTGTGAACATCGACGCCAATTCAACCTCAGACACTAATTCGTCGGTCGCTCGGTAACTTCGTCGGATCGCCGCACTGTAGCTGACGAACGAATTCCTCCAGCCCTCCTTAATTCGTTCGTTGTCTTCAAATCCGTCTTAATTTCTGACCTTGTAAGTTTCTATATAACCTAATTTTTTTAATGTTAATCCCAATTATATTCGCCAATTTGTAAACCTGCGGCTGTAATTCCAAAGCTTGAAGTTGATTGTTTTGTATTGTTTGATATAATCTGAATTCTAAAATTGATTTATACGGAGTAAAAAATTGAGGATGCAGACATTGAGTGTTCATTGATTATACAGAGTACTTAGTACGATAGTTTGGACAACTATTCAATTTGAAGAACTTTATGCCTGACCAGGAGGTAAATGGGGATTAGAAGCACACTTAGTCAACCGCTAAAGTGTGTGCAAATTTGAAACCAATCAAGAACAGACCCAACTAATCCTCAACTCTAAACAACCTAAAGTATTACGGAGTATATGGAGCATTGACTGGCTAATGAACAACCTATGGTTACTTGAGAGAACTACAGAGTTGAGAAAATAGTACAAATAGTAAATTGATAACATAGTTGAATAATTGACTAATTGTCAAAGTCAGAGACTAGACTGGTTCTGTTTATGTGGCTAGAGGTGGATTCCTCTGTAGGCTGTAGCCAAAGAAGCTTCGTTTGTACTCCCAGTAGAGTCATCTTGCTTCTCTTTGGAGACTTTTGAAATGAAAAAAAAAGGTTGGAGACTTTTGAAATGATGTGATTCAGACCGTAATGGGCATGGAAAAGGAACTGACACGATTTTTCTCTCTTCCTCTCTCACTCATTCTTTAAGAAATTCATTGAAGTGTTGTCTCTTCTACATCCTGCAAATCCATCCTTACTAATCCGAAGGGCTAGTAGCAATTGTAAGGTTGAAGGAGAGTAGGGAATATTGCCCACAGTCTTTTGTTAAAATAAAGAGCAAGATTGGTTGAAAATTAATTGTCAATCAATACCTTCTTTCAATTAAGTGAAGATTTTTAACACAACATTCCTTTGCTTTGCTTGCCTTAGCATTGTTCTTGACCTTTATTTTAATTTAACCTCTTTTTATTAGAAATAATAACTTCTTTAGGCTCCGTCTAAAAACAGAGCTCTATTTCAAGCAACTCTTACGAGAGTCCTATCCCTTGAAAAGCAACTCGTTTTCATGTGCCGAAATAAAGTTACAAGACAGTAAAAATGGTAATTTAGTTTAAATTATCACTTGTAATTGTTGAGTATATCCCTTTCATTCTCATTTTTGTACTACAATTCCATTTGATTTATTTAATAATGATCTATATTCAATGCTCATGGTCTGCTTCTGATTGATTATACATTTACAAAAGAGGTATATTCAGGTCGCTGAGTCTTTATTCTTACTTGATGTAGTGGACTCAAGTAGATCAAAAACCTTCTTATCTCATTGATGAGATTCCCGTTCTAGACCAAGGCTTGATAGGCCTACAGTCCATTCCCACTGAAAGCCATTCCCACTGAAAGCCACTGGTTACACATAAGTCATGGAGGAAAAGCATTCACTCGCTCTCCTATGAACGACAGACACAAGCTAGAGAAAGACAGCCAAACCCGAGGACTACAAACTGGAAAGCACCTAGCTAGATACTCGCTATTGACAGAATACTACAACTTGGTAGAGGAAAAGTTTGCAAGTGGCTGAAGAAATGAATTTAGTTAATATATATGGTACAAGAAAGGTGTTACTTCAAAAATTTTGTTTTCTCATGCCTATAGAAATTCATAAATGGAATTATGTATTTATCATGGGAAACATGTACATGTTGTATATATTTACTTTGTTTCTTTTTGTTGCATTTTGTTTTGTTTTGTTTCGTTTTGTTGCATTTTGTTTTCTTTTGTTGTATGTTGTTGAGTTTTGTTGTATCTTGTTGCTAATTCTGGTAAATTATTGCTTTCTGTTGTTCGGTGTTTCTTTTCAAAAGCAATTCATCTATTTTAGCTACTTTAGCATAATCTTACAATGCATACTTAAAATGATACATTCAGATTTAAGAATATTAAATCTTAAGAATATTAACAACAAGAAATATGAAGAATATTAACAACAAGAAATATGAAGAAACAAAATAAAACAAAATTATAAACAAAAAGAAACACACAAATATCATATGCAACAAAAACTAAAAATAGTATGATAGAGCAATAACAATTCGACTTTGTAACTATTTTTTTAAATAAACAAAAAGTTCTCTTTATCTAATTTTTAAATTTTTATCATTTTTTTAATTTCCATTAATTTTTTTCCACATTTTTATTTTGGAGTTTTTTTATTTTACACACATTTTTTTTTACTTTAATCTTCTGACATTTTAATAATTTGAAGAGTATTATTTTATATATTTCAGTTTTTTTCACATTTTATTTTCATTTTCACTTTTTTCGAGTTTTATTATTTTACGTGATTTTAATTTAATTTTTTGATAAAAAAAAAGTTTCTATTTTTATTGTATTTTAAAATCTTTAATTTGATTTTATTGAATTTTATCAAATTAAATTTTTTAAATTTTTTATTTTTTACTTTGTGGAGATTCTGTTTTAAATTTAATCTTCATAAAAAAATATTGCTTTTAATTTTTTCAATATTTTGAAAAACAATTATCGTATTTTACATATTTGGTCTTTCAGGTTTTTATATTTATTTATTAAATTTTGAAATATTTTTATATTTTTTGAATTTTTTTATTTTTATATAAAGTATATTAAGTGTTTTAAAATATATTTACAAAAACATATTGTCTACTTCCTTACAGTTATATCCCACATTTTAAAAATTTAAACTTTTTGTGTTTTGAATTTATATTTCTAAAGTTTCTATACGTTTTGTGACAGTTCTTTGTTTTTTATTTAAATTTTAATTATTCTTTTTTTATTTTAAAATTTAAATCACAAAATTTTCAATTTTGATTGTTTTATGCATGTTGTTGGACACATGCATTCATGATTCAACGGAGTATTGGGGAGAAGATGAACAAAAGTGGCCACTAGTTTGGAAAAAAGTACGCAATCTGGACTCTGGAGTAGATTTTTCATGCGGCCATGCGGTGATGCGGGTGGCTGTTTTTGAAAAGAAAAACTGACTGGTCTGTTTTTGAAAACAAATTTTAAAAGTGAAAATAGTGATATTATTTTCCTTTGTATGCTTGTTTGCGAAAAAATCCCAAATTTGTACTCCCTTTCTATCTTCAAGGTTTGTCAATTTTTCTTTTTTTGATAGTTCAACCAACTTTACAACTTTCCTTTTTCATTAGCAATTTATTATAACTTTTTATTTTTTTTTATTTTGCACAAAACGTAACCACATGATTTTTACCTATTATTTATCATGTTGATCAAATTTGATCAAGTTTAAAGAGAGTAGGATGAAGTATTTTTTAGTACGCATTTGATAACATTGAAATCAATTAAATGGGTTAAAACTATTGAAACTGATGAAATTATAGGTGAATTGATCTGATCGATTTGACTAACTTACTGATTTGCAAAAATATTATATTTAAAATATTATGGAAATAGCTACAATGATGTTCTATGGTAACTTCAATTTGTTCAATCACAAAAATAAGTTAAAACACATTTATGCTGATTATTACTCCCTCCATCCCATTTATATTGTTCCATTTTACCATTTCGGAAAGTCCCACTTAAATTGTCTCATACCATATTTGGTAAAGTTTGTGTGGTTCAAAATCATTCTTACTTTATTCTTACTTTATCAATTAATATCAACCACACAAACTCACATTTCTTAAAACTCGTGTCACCCTCTTCCGTCCCAATATAAAAGGGACGGATGTTGTATATAACTAGTTTTCAAGCCCGTGCGATGCACGGGAAGTGTGAAATTTATCTAGTTTTAAATTTGATTTTTTTTTTCAGGATCATATATAATGGGATGCAAAAACAAATTAAACTCAGTCTAATAGAGTCCGTTTGATAATACTAAAATTGGTCGAATTAACTTATTTTGGTGAAATTGATTAAATTATGGTTGAATGGGCTGAATAGGTGAAATCTCCTGAATCATGAAAAAAAATATGTAAAATATATTCCATTTGTAAAACAAAGAAAAATTATATGAAAATATTCAATATGATCTTCTACATAAGCATCTCAAGTAAAATAATTGTTATGAACTAGGTAATGGAAATAGGCTAAGGATCTATTTGATGTCTCAAATTTTCTAATAAATCTATGTTTGATGAGGTCCACTCTACATTAGTTTAATTTGATATTATTTGATTCAACTTTTTCCTTTTATATCCTTATTATATATATGAGAAGTTTAATTTTAGAGAAAATCCTCTTAAGGAGTGTTTGCTATAGATTAAAAGTGTATTTTTCAACCTTTGACTAAAAAAGGGTAAAATTAATGTTTTTCAAAAACCTATTTGAATTCTTTTGAAAACAATACATGTTTCAATTTGCTTAGCTCTTATGATTGTAACTCATAGCTTTTCTTATTCTACCCGGAGGAATGATGATGTCATCCAAAAACAATGTGAGCAAAATCCACATGTGGCAAGTGATCATAGAACATTAGAAC